GGCCTTCAAGATGTAGCTTCACTGTTTAATCTCCTGTGATGACTTCTACTCACTCTCATCTGTGCTCCCCATACAACTTCACATGTTTCTACAGAAATTTGTGTAGTGTTTTGGTCATGTTTCTGTCATGCAAGAGGATGTTAATTTTGCCTCCATCTTGCCCCTCTCATTATAAATCTTCAACTCTTTGATGTATATCCATATGATTTTCCATTATTCCATATGCATCTAGTAGCTAAGGCTAGTGCTATGAACCATTTCACATTTCTGTGAGCACTGTTTCCTACCACAACCCTGAAAGATCTCAGCAACAATGCTATAACACTTATGATAATATAATGAGAGTCTACTCCAATAAAGACAGACATAACAAACAGCTACTTGCAAAAGAGTGAAAGAAAAACAAACAAAAAACAAAAAACAAAAAACTATTGACTAGCATTGACTAATCCACTGATGAATAACCTGTAGTTTGGATCAGGCTTCTAGTTATTGTATTTTGGCTCATGCCTCAGTTTTAATACAGGAAGTAAATCTAAATGTTCCTACTCCTTTGAAGGAAAACTAGTGCTTACCCATTGTATTTAGCTTTTGGTTAGAACCTGAAAAACATGAAAACTTAAGTAAAATAAACAAAAGTTCCCTGACTATTCAGGTAAACACACACACACACACACACACACACACACACACACACATTCTGACAGTCCTTTAGAGACCATGTTCTTGACTCATGTAGTCCTTCCTTCTTTCGCTTCAACAAATCCACAAGACTTAATAACACCTCCCTCTTATGATTTTATCTAAGTATTCATTGCTATTTTGCAATGTTGTAGCTTTGTGGATCATATTTAGTAGTCCCAGTATACAACTTACACTTTAAGTTTTAGACTAAATTACTGGCAACTTAAGTTATCATTTAAATTTACAAAATTTCTCATTAAGTATTTAGAAAACTATTTACCCACACAATTGTTACTGTATGAAGTTTAGGTCTCCAGTAAACTCACAAAAATCTATTTAACAAACAGTCTGCATTAACACTAACTACCAAAAAGCCTAAATTAACAGGACTAACAAAATTTTAAGACTGTATAATATTTCTATAATATGCCTAGAATTGAATACTTGATTTTGTAGCTATCTACTTGACAGATGGAGTGGAACTCCTCCAGTAAGCCTGTGGTGGAGATGAAAACTGGGATGAAAAATAAGCTCTTATTCTTATGTATAGGTTGATCACTTCAGTCCAAGTAAGTGACTCTGGAAATGTTCAGGAGGTAAAAAGCTTCCTTACTAAAGGACTTATTTATTTGCCTTCTTTCCCAGTCTTGACAAAGGACAACAAAATTGTTTGTACTAAAGTTGGCATAATCTTCAATTAAGTGAAATACCCAACCAGACTATGCTGAGCATTTCATCCCAGGCACTAGGGAATACAGGCTTGGTCTCCTTGTACTAGAAAATACTAAGCATTTCATGCAAGTGGTCGTAAGCAGTGAATGTGTCTCTCCTGTAAGTATAGTTTATCTTGTTGTCCTGTCAATGGACACAGAGATAAAATAAGTAAGAAAAGGAGACAATGGTTGTGACCAGCTTTGTTTTCCTTTCTTTCCACCTCTTTCTTTAAATGTTATCATACCACTAAACATTCTACCTTCCCTTGAAAAACTCAACAAAGAAAGGAAGGTCCACCACAGTAGCAGGTAAAAAGAGAAGTAAAGAAAGGAAATTCCAGTTACCATGAATATAAATATGTGAAGATTGTATTTTGTAGATCATTATTTCTATGATTAGCAAGTTGTGGAGGCTCAGATTCTTGAACCTCAAAGAAATGTCATTCTGATAGAATTATAGAATAATCCAACAACGTTAAAAGTTGAAGGGGCCTCCAGACACTATCTCATCACACAGTTAATTTTCGGTAGATTACAAACCCATATAAGACTGTGATGAAAGGTGCACACTTTCTCCCAAGACTCGTCAAAGCAGAATCAGAAATATAATTTCACGGAGTTGCCAGGTATTTAGAGATACCTATCCAGCACTGGCTCCTTACATTTTCAGATGGACAAACAGAACCAGAAAGGCTCAGCTGTCAAGGTCACATATAAAGGTCAAAGCTCAGGCTTGCATCCAGGCTTCGCTGCCTACACTACACACCCCATCATCAAGTCTTCGGCCACAGCAGCTGTCTCCCTGCATTCCAGAGTGATGCCCCAATGCGCGTGGAGATGGGCTTCAGGATGCTCTGACAGAACTGCCTCTGTCCACACCCTCCTTAACAAATTAGGGTTTATGATGCATCTAATTTAGGCTTCCACACAGTATCCTGTGCTCTCTTGGGTATCCTATGGCCATTCCATGGCTGCCTGTTTGGTAGACTTTAGTCACAGAAAGCATTACTTTTGCCCCCGTGTTATAACACACAATTAAGCCTGAGCTGCTTATGAGTATTCTTTAGATCAGAGTCCTTCAAGAATACAACTGCTCTAGGAAATGCTTTACTCCTTGTAGTCAGTTTAAATATCTCCCTCATCCTAAATTAAATTGTAGTACACCTGCAAGTTTATTTGAGTTGCTCTCAAAATTACACTTTTTAACCCTTAATGTTCAATGCTATCTCCTCCTCTTGTAGCGAAGCACTAGCATTTCCTTGCTTGAATAAATCCCCTTTTAATCCTCTATTTCCAACATAAATATTTTAACACTTCTGGCTCAAAATTCTGAAAATTACTGACATCTATAATAATCTTTACTCCTTTATTCCTTAAACCCACCACAACTAAAAATCTTATACCTGTTCTATCTTGTTAGCAAACTCCACACGAGATGTATTCTACCTAATTACGCCTTTCCTCAGATCACATTAGGCACTCAGAAGCATATGCTTGCTTCTCACTAGCATTTCATTTGGCAGAGATAAATCAACTTATCTTGCAATTCAACTCGGGATATATTCTTTTATAAAATTTTCACAATTCTGAATCAGTTTTTCATTTGGTATCTATTCAATGTATCTAACTATCTCCACCCGTTATCTCACTCATTTACTTACTCTCTACTAGGTAGTAGGGAGTGACAAAGTCATTCTCCCCATGAAGCTTATAACCCCAGAGTCCAGGCAGATCCTACCATATTTCTTACCTCAGTCATTTCAATTCAGTACAACTCAAATTACTTTGCATTACTCTCACCAAAAGAACTTCCTTCCCATCTAAAACTTCACAAAGACCTCTCTGGTCAACATTCCCTTTCAGGTTTTTAATGACTTTTGGCTTCAGCTTGTACATATCAAAGTAATCTCGCATGTTACCTAATTAATGTTAATAAAAGGTATCATAGATAGATCTAGGACACAGTATCTCACCTGAAGAAATGTCACATCACACTTAACAAACTGCTCAGATAAACACATACACAAAGAACTTCAGTCCTGAAAAGTACCTAGAAACTGTCCGGTTGAAACTTCCATGTTATAGATAAAGGCACAGAGAGAAGTGAGTCGGTTTGGCCAAAGTCTCAGAGGCAGAATGTGCCACTGCTGAACCAATGATCCAGGCAGTCAACAACAGTTCAATTTTATTTCACTGACCACTTAACTTTACTGGAACCTAGCTTTCCTTTTTCTCCTATAATAACCATTTTTTTTTTTTTTTTTTTTTTGCTAAATTTAAACGAAAACCTCAGGCAGCCATTTAAATATATAGACCTCCATATTCTTCATCCAAAGAGGACAAGACCAGAATTACAGCATCATAAATTTTAAACCAGAAAGGGAGATCATCTAAACTAGTACTTTTCAAAATGAACGTTAAAAATTATAAGCATCAGTATTTGTTAAATCTACAATTAAATAATACATATCCTCCACACTCCAACTGCTCCCTCCCCCAGAAAACATTATCTTTATAGTCTTTATTTTGTCCTTCAGTTGTGCTGCAGAGGATAAGATTAAGAACAAGGAACCTAATCCAACACCTTCCTTTGACAAATAAGACATGTCAAACCCAGTAAATGGAAAGAATTTGTCCAAAGTGAATCATCAAGCAAATGGCAACTTTCAGGACAAAACCCAGGTTCCTATTTTTCACACTGCAATTATTTCACCATTTGTTTGGATTTACTGTATCTTGGATAGAGCTTCCCAACGCCCAGGAATCTCCTTAAATGACTGGATACCTCTGGCCTGCTTCGTATTTGAAGAACACTGTGGATATCTCATCAGCCAGTTAATTCCTGGCTAAGTAGGAAGCAGGAAGGACATGCTTTTCAGGTCTATCGCTAAGTCTCCATGAAAGAGGAACTGAGAATAAGGATTTCCAGAGCTGGCAGTAGCATCGGAGACACCCAACACTTGCAATTTACAGATAAGAAAATTGTGGTACAAAGAGGATAATGGATCTGGACAAGGTCATGTAGTGAGTCGGAGAACTGAGTAAAACTAGAACTCAAACTCCTGATCCTCAAGCGCAGCAGCTTCTTTCAAAGATGTATTCATTTCATTCTGCTCAGGGTATCCCTCCAGCGCAGCTGACCAAATGCCTTAATCCATTTACCGGCCTAAACACAGACTTAACGTTAAAATCGTGGCATTCGGGAGGCCCCAAGAGGGGGAGGGGCAAAAGTGAACCTCCCATCTCAGGAGCAAACCGAGGCTCCGACAGGGCTCTCCACTGCCGGGCTCCTGGGCCAGGAGCAACCCAAAGCAAGGCCTAGAAAGTCAGGAGCTACCCATATTCGCCCCAGCTCCCCTCGTTGATCTAGGCCCTAAGGGGGCAAGAGATACAGAACCCAGGCAGTTGGGAGCCGGGGTCTCCCCATTCTGGCAGCAGCTGCCCTGCCTCAAACACCCGTCTTTCTGCCTCCCGCGTCCGTATCCCGGTTCCCTCATCCGCCGTCTCACCTAAGCCGGCCCTCAGTCTGTTATTGTGGTTGAGAAGGAGGGAGAAACAACACTTCCCGAGGCCCCCACCGCCGAAGCACTTCCGCTTCCGCTGCCGCTCCGGCAGTCCGGAGTGTTGTCATCCGGGGCTGCTCCCTTGCCTGCGCCTTATCTCCACATTGGGTGTGGATATTTGTGTCGGGGCGTGATAGCCATGTTAAGTGTGGCACTTCAGCTGGCCTGCAACTGGTCGTTTTCACCGTTTTACCCGAGCGTCAGGGCGGAAGCACCCGAATACTGATACGCCGGAACTAGTGATGTGCTCTTCAACCAGGCTGGTAACTGTGCTCTTGGTAAACTTCGAGATCTTTGTCATTTCTTAAACAAATGAGTTTCAGTAGAAATGTTTTCCAGAATTTATTCAACTATAGCAAACAGACTTTTTTTTTTTCTTTTGGGGAAAGGGCTCCTCTTAGACATGTTAATGTTAAATTAACCCTACAATGATTTAAAGAAATTCTCTCTGCGTGTGATTAATAGTGTTTTACAGCTCAAAGGACTTTCACATCAGTGTCTCAGTGAAAACTTTCAAGATGCGTGGGGATCAGTTTAATCAGTTTTTTTCTTTTTTTACTGGATAGGGAATTACTTCAGACAGGATAATTGACCCACACAAGGTCACTGCTGGACTGAAATCCCATTTCCATTCCTTATACACATGTAACAAAACAGGCTAAAATGCCTAGTTTTAAATTGCTACAAATAACAGTTGGTGTGCATGGAAGGCACATAAGACAATTTGACACAACCTGCGGGGTAATGATCCCGTTTGGGAAGAAAGGATGAAAACGGTTTATAGTGTGTCTTTTATTCCTTTTATTCTTTTTCTTACCAGACCTATTGGTTCTTTTCCCATACTGGCCGCTTAAGTATACGTGGCCAGATTTGTTTGCTCAGCACTGACCAAATCAAAGGAGGCCGTTTATTTTGTTAAGAGAAGTGTGGGGGTGGTTTTCATAGCTAGCTCCAAGGATATGGAGGGGTTTATCATTCAAATCACAGTCTCTCTTTGTACAGGTGTGTAGGATCTTTATAGCGAGGAACATGGAAGGAAATACAATTGAGATAATAGGTGTTTTCAGATTTGTTTTATCTTTTCCTGGACCCAGACCTCTCTTGTCTGTGAAAATGAAACTGGATTTTTCCAGCATCTGTACATTATCTAGGCTGAGAGGAGTGAATGGTGGCTATGTCTGAGGCATGAGAAAAGTTAGAAAGTCCACTTGTCTCTAAGGAAAAATCTAACTTTTAAAGATACATTTTGCCAAGGATGGTTACATTATATTAAGGTTAGCACACTAGATGTTTATCTTCTCTTAGGCAAGTCATGGTTGTAGTAATCTATTTCTGTGTGGCAAACCATATGTCGTAATTTGGGGCTCCAAGAGGCAAAAAGAAATGGCAAAGCTTCATTGTATGCATGTACTGTTCATCTTTATCGTAGCTTTCATATTCTTCCTGTAAATGATGAAAACATTCTATTCCCATGTTGTTTTTCTGACATATTTAAGCTCTGGTAAATGACCCAGTAAGACCTTTGGCCTTTTCTGTTTTCTAGAATGAAATGAGATATTGTCACCAGAATGCTGAGTCCTAATGTAGCATACTGGCCCCTCACTGCTTGGCCCTAGGTTCTATGTGCTCTTGTTGAAAGAATTCAGTCAAGACACAGCCATCTGTACAAGTCTAGGTAGAATTAATAGTAAAATAGATATATACAGAGTTGCACTTTTGAGAATGAAGGCAGTGTCATGAAGACATCTACCCCAGTGTGAGTTTGGATACATTTTATGCACACTAAAGTTATTCCTGAGGTTTGGGGAACTACGATGATTATCATAGTTTTACTTACACAATATATGCACTTATCAATATTTCTCTTAGAGATTTCTGTGGAAAGTTGATATTACAAATGTATTTTCTTTGTTCCTTTTGGATGTAAAATGTTCCTTCAGGGGCCTTAATCATATAAGAATCTAAATCAGGTCTCAACCCCAACAGGGAGTCTTTAAAGACTGATATCATTGGATGGTACAAAGGGATACTGTATGCCTTGTTTTGGGTATAGATGACCAGGTATCAGTGGGAATATGCACACATTATGACCTTAAAATGTCACTGTGTTCTGTGGGATGGCTTTTTAGTTCTATACCAAGTAATTGTAACAAGTAATTGTAAATATATTATGCTTGAAGCCTTTGTTTCTTAACTATAAATGGCAGAGCGTGCTTGTTTTGCCTCCTGCCGCAGTCCCACAGGCCTGCAAATCTATGAGAGTATATTTAAACTATGCTTAATATATGACAGTACTGAGTATCATGTGCAGGGCCCAGCATGTATGGAAGGCATTTGGTAAAATTTCAGCATGGTTGAGTTGAAATTTTTAATTCAAATGGACATAGTCTTGTCATTGCTCCTCTGGTAAAAAGCACTGTGGTAGGGCTGGAAATAAATAAAGTATATTTTTCTATCTCAATTTTTAGAAGGGGAAAAAAATCATACCTAAAGATTGTTTTGTTTTGTTTTTGTTATTTATTTATTTATTTATTTATTTTTGAGACAGGGTCTCACTATGTAATTGAGACTGACCTGGAACTCACTAAGTAGCCCAGGCTGGTCTTGAACTCACAGTGATCCTCCTGCCTCAGCCTCCCAAGTGCTGGGATTACAGGCATGCACCACCACACCTGGCTACCTAAAGATTGTTTAAAATGCTTAGTACAGATATTTTATCTATGCTACCCAACAGTGCACAGTTTCTAGTTCCTCTACCTCTTCACCTGCATTTGTTTCTTGTGAGATGTTTGTAATCCTCTAATAGTGCCTGGCCTCCAGCAGCCTTCCACAGAGGATCACTCTTATTATTTGCTTATTCAGATACTTTCTGGATACTTTCAGTCACTGGGCAGAAATATTACTATGATATTTCTGATGTTCACATCTAAAGTGCTCTCAGTCTTTCTAAGTTACAAAGGAAATCCAGCAGAAGGGTACTGTATACAGGTATGTGGTTAGACCATTGCATACAGGCAGTGAATTTATCAGGACCTTTTCTTTGATAGTAATTCTTTTAATTACATCTTCAATTTCATTGACTGCTTTTGGGTTTTTTAGAATTTTTATAGTTTGTTGATTCATCTTTGATAATTCGTACGTATCTAGGAATCTGTCCATTTCTTCTGTGTTTTCATCTTATGAAAAGGTTCTTGAAGTAGATATCTATGACCTTCTGGATTTCTGCAAGATCTGTTGTGATTTCGCCCCTTTCTGCCTAATTGCATGGTTGTGACTCTTTTCTTTCTTCTCTAAGCTTCACTAAGTGTCTGTCCATTTTATTTAATATTTCAAAGAACCTATTCAATTCATTGAATCTTTGTATTATATTCTCAGTCTCAACAGCATTAATTTCTGCTGATTATTATAATTTATGCTTTTTATAATTTACTCCCTTGTACAAACTTTGGGCTTAACTTGCTCTTCTTTTCATAGACTCTTGAGGTTCAATATTAGGTTATTTATTTGAGCTCATTCTGTTTTCCTGATGTGGGAATACACCACTATAACTTTTCCTCATAGGACTGCTTTCATCGCATCCTGTTTACCTGGTATGTTGCATTAGCATTATTGTAGAAACTGTCTAATTTCTTGTTTAATATAATATGTGACCCATTGGTTGTTCAGGAGGGAATTATTTAATTTCCATGTGTTTATGCAGTTTTTGTGGCTTTTGTTATGGTTTGAGTCTAGATATCCTCCCAAAGCCTCATGTGGTCAGAGGCTTGATCTAGAGTGTGTGAAGTTGGAATTGATTCATTAATCAATGCCAGGATCAGTGGCACTAGGATTAAGGGTGTGAGTGCTCCTCACCCTAAGTAGTCTGAATAAGATAAAAGGGGAATTCTCTTTTTGCCTTTACTGCCTTCTGTGCACCATGTTTCTCCTTTGCAATGCCTTTTTGCCATACCTGCCTTGGAGCCAGCTGATTATGGCTTGAAACCTCTACAAATAAACCATTGCCCCTCTAACTTTGGGTGTCAGATATTTTATCTCAGCAATGAGAGAAAAGTAACTGACACAGCTTTCTTTGCCACTGATTTCTAATATTGCACTGGGGTCTGTTAAAGGGAAAATTTCAGTTATTTGCATTTAGTTAAGCATGTTCTGTGAGCTAGTGTTTGGTCTATTTTCGAGAAAGTTCCATTTTAGCTGAAAATAATAAATATTGGGGTGTTGTGGGGTAGAACAGTGTGTAGAATCTACCATTTGTTAAAACTTTTGGCTCAGTTCTATTTCTTTGTTTTTTACCTAGTTGATCTATCTATATGTGACAGTGAGGTATTGAGGTCCCCAGTATTATTGTTATGATGCTTATTTTTTTTCATTCCCATTAATATTTGTTTTAGATAGTTGAGTGAATTGGTATTTGTTGCATATAATTTTGTGATTATTTTAATTAATTTTATTGGTACATTTTAGGTATACAATATAATGACATTCATCACTGGAAATTTGCCCCTTTATATGATCCATCTTGGCTCTTGTTTTTTTTCCCCATTCCACTTCCCTCCTTTCAACCCCTCCATTCTTCCCTATTTATAAAGACTTTGTTTCCATTTTTTCATTTTCTTTTATTAATTCCATCCCCTCCTTTCCTTTCCCTGACCTCTACTATTTCCCCTTCCCCTTCGTCCCCTTTCTTCCTATTTCACATTATCTATTATACCTTTTGTCCTTATTTACACTTTTAGTTTCTCACACTAGAGAAACTATTCAGTATTTACACGTGTCCTATTTATGGCCTCATTGTGCATCCATTTAGCTATAAATGTCTCTGATTTCTCATTCTTTGTGGCTGAGTAGTACTCCATTTTATATTAAAAAAAAAACACATTTTCTTTATCCAGTCTTTGGTTGAGGGGCAATTGGGCTGTTTCCAAATTTTAGCTATCATGAATTGTGCTACAATGAATATGGGTGCACATATATTACTGTGGTATGATTCTTGTAATTCTTTGGGGAAAATTTTCAGCAGGGGAATAGCTGGGCCAAATGGGACTTCCAGTATTAGTTCTTTGAGGTATCTCCATACTGATTTCCACAGTGGTTGCACCAGTCTTCACTCCCAACAGCAGTGAAGCAGGGTTCCTTTTCCTCACAGACCCAGTATTTGTTATTGGTTGATTTCATGACAGCAGCCATTTTTTCTGGGGTGAGGTAGAATCTTAGCATTGTTTTCATTTGCATCTCTTGAATGACCAGTGATGTTGAACATTTTTTTTCATATGTTTATTTG